TACGAATTAGCCACCTCATATAATACGTACGAATTGCCGTGAGATCAGGTTGGTAAGACAGAACATGTCAACGCGAGATGCATGGCAGCAGAAAGAAAAAAAACTAAGTCTAGACACGTTTTTTAAACAATTTTTCAGCTTGACACTGTGTTCTGGTGCGCAGGCACGAGACCCTGCAAAAGACGCAAAACACAAGCGCAAAGGCGTCCATCTAGCGCATGTTTACACAGAAAAACTCTGGAAAAACAGTGCAGTTTTTTTGCATCTAAAACACGAGGCAGTGGATAAAACACTTTTAAAAACCGTTTTTAAAACGTGAACTAGCGTACTTTTAACTCGTGCATGGACTTTTTATTATCCAGGGTCATGCGTGAAACGCTACAAAAGATGCAAGCGCAATAAAAGACGTCTGTCTCTAGTGCATGTTTAGAAAAATAACAGAAAAGTATCACAAACGTGTTTTGTGTAAATGGATCCTTAGAAGGCAGTAGCCTATGTAGGAAGTAGAAAGTATGGCAGTTTACTATATTTGACAGAGAAGATCTGTCACTGGCTGCATACAAACAATATTCGAATATTAAACATATTAAACATATACACATATTTCCATTTAAGGCTTTTAGTGGCTAATATATTAAATATATTCTTTCTTTTTCTTTTTTATATAGAGATGTATAAAATTGCATAATTGTTTTACTTTTTAAAATTGATATATCATTTCTTTTTTTTTAATTTTCAGTTCTAAGAACAAACCAGGCTTTGAATTTAGTCATTTGAAATTGGCACTTGATCTTTCCAGAAAGAGGGACAGCAACTCTGAAACTTTGTATTATGAGCACTTCTTGTGTTTGTTTGCCTCTTTATGATGAATCTGTTGTATTCCTCGTTTGTAAGTCGCTTTAGATAAAAGCGTCTGCTAAATGAATAAATATAAATGTAAACTCTGGACTGATGGACTGGTCACCGCTGCCCCTCGGTCAAACACAACAGCCGCCGATGCAACTGTTTGCTGCTCGCTGCTATTTCTAGAAGCCACGAGGCGCAGCTGCCACCACACACCTGTTCATACCAATATCTGCTTTCATAGGGCACCACTGCTCCTCACGGGGCCCTGGGGCCACAGGTGGCCCCCCAGTAATGGGCACACAGCTCAGGCCTGTCATCAGGTCAAACAGGCCCTGTTATGGAGGAGGTGGCTGGGTTTTTGGCGAACTTCTGTTTTAACAATCAGCCTACAGGAGTGGAAAACCTGACACAGCAGCAGCGTTATTATCGTTAACTAAAACAAAAATTAAAACAAAAGATAAAAGATAAAATGTGACCCTGGAGCACTAAACCAGTCTTAAGTCGCTGGGGTATATTTGTAGCAATAGCCAACAATACATTGCATGGGTCAAAATTATAAATTTTTCTTTTATGCCAAAAATCATTAGGATATTAAGTAAAGATCATGTTCCATGAAGATATTTTGTAAATTTCCTACCGTAAATATATAAAAACTTATTTTTTAATTAGTAATATGCATTGCTAAGAACTTCATTTGGACAACTTTAAATGCGATTTTCTCAATATTTAGATTTTTTGCACCCTCAGATTCCAGATTTTCAAATATTGTCCTCTCCTAACAAACCATACATCAATGGAAAGCTTATTTATTCAGCTTTCAGATGATGTATACATCTCAATTTCGTAAAATTGACACTTATGACTGGTTTTGTGCTCCAGGGTCACAAATATACTGTATCATAAAATAATTTTTTTGAAAGATTATTCTAAATATATTGTAAAAAGATATATTTTATAAAAATACTTAAAAACCATAGAAAATGATACTTGAAATAAAATAAACGTTATCTAAAAAAATATAAAAAATCTTAAAATTATTTTATTTCAGCTAGTTGCAAGCCATCATTTATCATTTTAATTTAATTTGAACTTGAAATACTAAAACAGAAATTAATAAGAACTATATAGACATTTAAAAGAAAATAATAAAAATTATAAAACAACAAAATTTCCAAAACTTACTATATATATATATGTATATAAAGATTAAATCAATTATAAAAACACATTATTAAAAAAGTTTTAAATATATATATATATAAAAAAACAGAAAAGATGCCTGAAATAAAGGTTAAGATGAAACATACAAATCTGCTGGTTTAGCTTCATAAATGAACATACACTAGTTTTTTTAGCAGATTTTCTAGCTATAATTGTTAAAAGTTGGTTCATAGACTTTTAAAAAAATAAGTTATAAATAAAGATAATTGAAGAATGTTTTACAACAAACTACTATTTCAGTACAATTTTGCATTTAATTCAATGCTGTTTCTTTGTGAAATGTACAAGCAATTTCTGAATGAAGTAAATCCTACACCAAATGCTCGCAGGAATGCAATAATCACAGTATACTAGACTTACAGTAAACTAGAGTACACAGTATACTAGACTTACAGTAAACTAGAGTACACAGTATACTAGGCTTACAGTATACTAGAGTACACACACAGTATACTAGACTTACAGTAAACTACAGTACACAGTATACTAGACTTAGAGTATATTAGAGTACACAGTATACTAAACTTACAGTATACTAGAGTACACAGTATACTAGACTTACTAAAGTACACAGTATACTAGGCTTACAGTATACTAGAGTACACACACAGTATACTAGACTTACAGTAAACTAGATTACAGTATACTAGACTTACAGTTAACTAGAGTACACACACTGTATACTAGGCTTACAGTATACTAGAGTACACACACAGTATACTAGACTTACAGTAAACTAGAGTACACAGTATACTAGACTTACAGTATACTAGAGTACACAGTATATTAGACTTACAGTATATTAGAGTACACAGTTTACTAGACTTACAGTATATTAGAGTACACAGTATACTAGAGTACACAGTATATTAGAGTACACAGTATACTAGACTTACAGTAAACTAGAGTACACAGTATACTGGACTTACAGTATATTAGAGTACACAGTATACTAGACTTACAGTAAACTAGAGTACACAGTATACTAGACTTACAGTATACTAAAGTACACAGTATACTATATTTAGAGTATACTAGAGTACACAGTATATTAGGGTACACAGTATACTAGACTTACAGTAAACTAGAGTACACAGTATATTAGACTTACAGTATATTAGAGTACACAGTATACTAGACTTATAGTATATTAGAGTACACAGTATACTAGACTTACAGTATACTAGAGTACACAGTATACTAGACTTATATGTTGCTTAGACCTCTGAGCGACTTTAAGCAGGCAGAACTGCGAGTCAATCATAAGCCGAGCCCATGTGCTTTGCGCCGGTTTGCTCTGGAAGCCGTTTGCATCCCTAGTGCTCTTCCAACAGCGGACGATCGAGCTCTCCGGCATCTAACGGCCTTCTCAAAGCCCACAGACTCTCAGATGAAAGGCCGACAGTGTCTCTCTCGTACACAGCTGGGCCTGTAGACGATTCCACTTCTCTTTCAAGGTCCCGTCAGCGAGACTAAAGCAAACATACAGATCTTCACGGCCCGTAACCAGACTGTATATTTTGGCCTTGGAATGAGGAGTAGGTGCGGAGAAATGAAGAGAAGTAAGCCAATGGAAACTTTCTCCAGCACGTTTGAGTGGCTAACACTTGATGTGTGACAGGTACTCTCGCGTGATGCCAGGATGCAACATGATACAGAATTCAATTTTATTTACACCACGGTTTTCTGGAGCGAATGATTACAACAGATCACAGTTTATCATTCCAGCAGAATATGAATCCAAACCATCAGCACTACATGGACATAAATATAAGGCATTGCTACAAAATTTACATGGCTTTTTCTTGATAAAACTGTACATTCGTGTCAGGAGCAGACGTAGAATTCATTTCCAAGACAAAAATACAAGCTTATCTAGTCATAAAATTCCCTTTTCTTCAGGTTTTCAGCTCCTGTTGTGTAGAACAAGTAAGGGTAAGTGTTAAAATATATTTTAATAATTAAATAGACACCCATGACTGCATATTATGTGTTATATATTTTTTATTGGTTGGAAGAATTTTTATTATGTATAAATGCTTACTATATATAAAATATTTATAAGAGTAATGCTACATTTATATTTAAAAAATGTTTTATATAATATATAAATATTATGTTAATTACACTACTGTTCAAAAAACTGGGTCAGTTAGATTTTTTTTCATGAAATGAATACTTTTATTTTACAAGGGCGTATTAAATTGATCAAAAGTGACATTTTTAATGTTGCAAAAGATGCATATTTCAAATAAACGCTGTTCGTTTAAACATTCTATTCATCACAGAAATCTAACAACAAAATATAACCTGATTTCCACAGTTTTCAATATGGATAATAATCAGAAATGTTTCTTGAGCGGCAAATCAGCAGAGAATGATTTCCGAAGGATCATGTGACACTGAAGACCGGAGTAATAAAAATTCAGGAATACATTTTATTTAAAAATATATTAAAACAGTTAAAACAGTTCTTTTAAATTGTAATAATATTCAAAAATGTTTTACTGTATTTTCGATTGCATGAATGCAGCCTCGCTGAGCATAAAAGACTTTCAAAACATTTAAAAAATCTTACAAACCTCAAGCTTTTGAATTGTGGTGCTTATGAAAATGGTTATTCTGTTCTTAATCAACTATATATTGAGCATTTCCATTTTTCCCCCCCATTTTGCTGTCATAGGCATTTCATAAAAGCAATAAGCCACCTGAAGCTGCAGTGATTTGACCAAAAACACCCCTTACTGTACATGACTGTAACATAATCTGTGGCTTTTTGCTTTACAAAAACACCCTGTCCATGTTAATTCAGCACTAGGTAAACGGCCAACAGATGAACATGTTTGGTGAAAAGATCCAGGATGAACGGATTCACGGCAGATCCTTCCTCAAAACGGCTTTGCGGCTTCTGAAAATGAACCGCTTTTCCCATCGACTAGCCTCGCCTTTCGACGTTTAATTATCAGAGATTCGCTCAAACGAACGGAGGGAAAAAACACGACTGGAGTCCTGACAGATCGGCTGTTGGGAGTCTTGGCTCTCTGAGTGGCCTCCTTTCTCAGCGCGCTATTACACTTCATTAATCTATCATGGGTGTTTTGCTATTTTGATAAGCCCTACCACAGCCATACATAAGCGGCGGCGTTCATTCCCCGAGCACACGCTCACCGTGCTCATGTTCCTGTGGGCTCTGGATCGTGTTGTGGTTGGAAATGTGATTTATGATTTCAACCTTTGTTCTGGGTTTGCGAAAACCGTCCGAAACGGGTCCCACAGACTCGAAACGCCACCGCTCGAGTCCCTCGGTGACCAATCGAATGACTAGAGACGGACAGTTTAGGAGATTCTGAGAGACATCCAGGTCGCCTGCTCACTTCCTAGACAGAACAGGAAACGCAAGTTCCTCCTCTCGGACCGCGCTTCCCACAATGCATAGCGCGAGTTCTGGTGGCGAGCGGGTCACTGGCTCTCGTCCATGCTGACGCCCAGCCGCTTCATGACGGTGACGCGAGAGCTGTACTGGCTGGGTTTCTGCAGCAGCTCTGCTTTGGGCTGGAAATGCTCCGTCAGGATCTTCAGGACGTTCTCCAACTTCACGTCCATCTGAAGCACCTACAAACAAAGAGACATTGATCTGAGAAAGGAAGCTGTTTTGCTGGATTTCGGGTGGTGCGCTGTAGTGGGCTACTGACTGAAAAGGCTGTGCGAGGGGTTAATCCATGAACAATCACCATTGTGTTCCAGTAATGCACTTAACCTCAGACTGTTTAACCCTTTAAGAGAAAGAAAATCAGGCTAAAGTCTACTCAGAGATGTGTGTTAAGATTATTTCTAACAAAACGTTATTGTTTACACTAAAGGCACGTATTGCTGCATGAAAAAGCATTAAAAAGACCGTTTGAAGTAAATTAAGTGAATCTTGTGGCCATAATTTTCTATATAATATAATAAAAAATATGGCCATAATAAATAAATAAATAATTTAATTAATTTTGCACTGACATTTGTCATTACTGTTTCGTTATTATAATATTTTTTTTTGTTTAAGTTAGTATGCAACAATTACTACACTGATGTATGCAACTTATAATATATGTTTTTGCATTAAATAAATAAATAAATACTATTTTCTGTTTTCATTTCAATTTTATTTCAATTTTAATAATTTTGTTGTTGTTTTGTAATTGTATTCATTTTTTTTTTTTAAATATGTATATATATATATATATATATATATATATAATGTTTATTTTTGTTTTTATTCATTTTTATTTCAGTTTTAGTTTTAGTTATTTTAGTGCAACTAAATGAAAATGTGAAATGTTGCTCTGGTAACTTGCTGGAATAAAATAAGTGAAAGTTTGTTTTATTTCAAGTAAGGACATTTCAGTTTTACATTTTTAATTCAATTTAGTCTTAAATAGTTTAAGTGAACTATAATATCCCTGCATTTTTTAATGGTCAATGCAAAATAATTTCTTATGAGATTCATTGTATTTGCACCATATTGGTTATTTATTTGTTTATTCATTCATTCATACATTATATATTAAGATATTTCATTTTAATACATGTTTATACTTTCATATTGTTTCTTACTTCTTTTTTAAATTTTAAGACTTACTTTGACTTTTACAGTCATCTAACACTGACTTGAAGGGACAGAGATCAATTGAGAGCTTTAAGAGCATTTTCTCTTGAAGAGCACTTTCACTTTAAGAGATATGACCCATTTTGGGGTGAAATATGACCTGGACATGCTGCATAAAATTCACCCAGTCAGGATATTTGAAGTATATTTAAATAAATACTTGAAAATCCCAAATCAAATGCATTTTGCGAAAAGGTCAGAACATAGGTGACGAGAACAGCATACATCAAACAATATGTGACTTTAACACAGATTCTCAGAAACAACCCTTCATGCATAAGTGTTTTTCTTTCAGAATGGGTCATTCATTTCAGATAGCTACTTAAAACACCCACTTTATGAGCCCTCGCTAGTCATCATTTAACCGTCAAGCACACACACAAAACAAAAGCAGGCCGTCAGTAACCTGAGACGCCAACACAAGCCACGAGAAGGTCTGCGCTCAACAGTGCGCTGTTTCACTGCGAGCCGACATAAATATATTTTCATAAAGAGAAGGAGCATTCACTGCCTGTTAGAGGGGAAATATAAATCTGAACCATAAACATGTCATTGATAATCTACGGCATTATCTGCATTCCCAAGCAAGGCGCTGCGCTCAGATTAGGAATTCCTCTGGTCTGTGGAGCCGGAGCACGTTGACCCGTGGAGACCCCAGGAAAAACAACTCTAAAACAGCCACAGAAATTGTGCTTGGACTGCAAATTCACTGCTCTGAGAACAGGCCGCGGGTTTGATGCTTTACGCCCAAATCACCACCAATGGAAGCAAGAACGAACAGCAAAGGTACTTGTTTTCTTGGAGTTTCTCCAGCAAAACTGACATTTCAAGTGCAGAAAAGCAGTCAAGCGTGTCATTTAACCTATTAATTAGTTATTAAAGGAATAGTTCACCCAAAAAATGAGAATTTGCTGAAAATGTGCTCACCCTCAGGCCATCCAAGATGCAGATGAGTTTGTTTCTTCATCAGATTTGGAGAAATGTAGCATTGCATCACTTGCTCACCAATGGATGTGAATGGGTGCCATCAGAATGAGGGTTCAAACAGCTTATTAAAAACATCCCAATAATCCACAAGTAATCCACACCTCTCCAGTCCATCAGTTAATGTCTTGTGAAGCCAAAAGATGCGTGTTTGTAAGAAACAAATCTATCAAGATGTTTTAAACTTCAAACCATTGCTTCTGGCCAAAATATGAGTCCATAATCCATAATAACACTTCCTCCAGTGAAAAAGTCCATCTCTTGTTGCCTTTTCAACATCAAAATCCTCCCACATACACTACCAGTCAAAAGTTTTTGAAGTCAGATTTTTAATGTTATTTTAAAGAAGTCTCTTCTGCTCACCAAGCCTGCATTTATTTGATCCAAAGTACAGCAAAAACAGTAAAATTCTGAAATATGAGTGAGAATTAGCTGAAAATGCTCTCACCCTCAGGCCATTCACGATGTAGATGAGTTTGTTTCTTCATCAGATTTGGAGAAATGTAGCATTACATCACTTGCTCACCAATGGATGTGAATGGGTGCCGTCAGAATGAGAGTCCAAACAGCTGATAAAAACATCACAATAATCCACAAGAAATCCACACCACTCCAGTCCATCAGTTAACATCTTGTGAAGCCAAAACTGCAGGTTTGTAAGAAACAAATCCATCAAGACGTTTTTAAATTGAAGCTGTTGCTTTTGGCCAAAATATGAATCTGTAATTCATAATAACACTTCCTCAAGAGAAAAAAGTTGTCTTATCTGAATCAGGAGTAAAATATGTACAGATCAAGCACCGTTTACAAGCCAAGACAGTACAAAGCAGCTCTAAACAAGTACAATACCAGTCAAAAGTTTTTGAATGGTAAGATTCTTTACGTATTTTAAAGAATTCTCTTCTGCTCACCAAGCCTGCATTTATTTGATCCAAAATACAGCAAAAGCAGTAATACTGTGAAATATTTTTACTATTTTAAATAACTGCTTTCGATTTGAATATATTGTAAAATGTAATTTATTTCTGTGATCAAAGCTGAATTTTCAGCATCATTGCTCCAGTCTTCAGTGTCACACGATCCTTCAGAAGTCATTCTAATATGCTGATTTGCTGCTCAAGAAACATTTATTATTATTATTATTATTATTATTAATATTTAAAACAGTTGAGTACATTTTTTCAGGATTCTTTGATGAATAGAAAGATCCAAAGATCACCATCTATCTGTTACAAAAGATTTCAATTTCAGATAAATGCTGTTCTTCTGAACTTTCTATTCATCAAATAAATCTGAAAAAAAAAAAAAATCTACTCTGCTGTTTTCAACATAATAATAATAAAAAATGTTTTTTGAGCAGCAAATCAGAATATTAGAATGATTTCTGAAGGATCATGTGACCGGAATAATGATGCTAAAATTCAGCTTTGAAATCACAGGAATAAATTACATTTTAAAATATATTCAAATAGAAAGCAGTTATTTTAAATAGTAAAAATATTTCAGAATTTTACAGTTTTTGCTGTACTTTGGAGCAAATAAATGCAGGCTTGGTGAGTAGAAGAGACTTCTTTAAAAAAACATTAAAAATCTGACTTCAAAAACTTTTGACTGGTAGTGTATGTGGGAGGATTTTGATGTTGAAAAGGCAACAAGAGATGGACTTTTTCACTGGAGGAAGTGTTATTATGGATTATGGACTCATATTTTGGCCAGAAGCAATGGTTTGAAGTTTAAAACATCTAGATAGATTTGTTTCTTACAAACACGCAGCTTTTTGGCTTCACAAGATGTTAACTGATGGACTGGAGTGCTGTGGATTACTTGTGGATTATTGTGATGTTTTTATCAGCCGTTTGGACTCTCATTCTGACGGCACCCATTCACTGCAGAGGATCCACTAGTGAGCAAGTGATGTAGTGCTATATTTATCCAAACCTGATGAAGAAACAAACTCATCTCAGACAGCCCGAGTCAATTTTCAGCAAATTTTCATTTTTGGGTGAACTATTCATTTAAAGGTGACATATCATGAAAATCTGAATTTTCCAGGTTTAAGTGCTATAATCAGGTCCCCGGTGCATCTACCAACCAAGGAAACGTGAAAAAGATTAACTTAGTAACTTTGTTTTGGGAAGCCTTTTTCTGCAAGCGTCTGAGAAAACGAGCGCGTCTGATTTCGCTCCTTTGGTGACGTGGCTAAGGGATCTCATTATAATATTACCGCCCCTTAATCTGTAAATTTACACCCACGGCGCCGTCATTGTGTTTTCGCAAGCGACAACGGTGTGCCAGCTCTAATGCCATGGTGAAAGTTTGAGCAAAACATGCTAACTGTTCTGTCTTTGGCTGCACAGATGAGCACAGAACACTGTTTAGAGTCCCAGCCTCAGAGGATTTATTGAGTTATTTACTGTATATTGCTGCTGCCACACAGATCTAAAATAAACAGGCGATTTATTTCCCAGCTGTTTACCTTCACAGACATAACCCACTGTTTT